ATTTGCTTCTTTGTATACCGATACATTTGAGGATTGTTGAAATATCAATACTAGTTATTAATTTATTTTATATCTGTGTGCAAATGTATTGATACACATTTTTAAAGTATCATTTTCTATAATCTCCACAACAAAATTTCCATACTTAGAATTTCTAAATCGATTAAAATTTGAGAAAACGGTAAAAATTATAAACAATCGATTAAATATAACATATTGAAAATGGACACAACCGGTTTCTATAATTTCGCCTATAAAGTATCGGTACCTAAGAAACATGTATCGATATATGACAATATAACAGGTTGAAAATTGACAAAACCGGTTTTAATATAAATAACTTAACATGTAAAAAATTGACAAAACTGGTTTCCTTAAGCTTATAAAGTATTGATACACGTATGAAAAGTATCGAGTCTTATAACTTCGAAACTGATTACTTTAAATTAATAGGTAAATATACAATGTAAGCTATAAAAATATACCAGTTTGATGGTAAAATACATTTATATAAAGTATCAATACTTTTTGTACATGTATCGATAGTTTTTGTACATGTATCGATACGTTTTGTCCAGTATGCTTCCCAAACAAGATGCACGTATGAAGTATCGATACCAATGAGACATGTATCGATACATGACAATATAACATGTTAAAAATTGATAAAACCAGTTTTAATATAACAAAAATTGTAAATTGCTACCGGTTTTTAAAAAATGAAACGTCTCGAAAGTATCGATATTGTACATAAAAGTGTCGATACTTCTAGTTTAAAAATGGTATCGGTTCTAAAATAACATATCAGGTCATCATCTTTTTGACAAAATCTGTTTCCATAATTGCGCCTATTAAATATCGATACACGTATAAAAAGTATTGATTCTTAAAATTTCGAAACCGATTACTTTAAAGTAATAGGTATATATACAATATAATTGGTTAAAAATTGATAAAACCGTTTTCAGTATGAAAAAATCTAGTAATTAACCTATTTTGTTATCGTCAAATTTCCAAAGCCCCATCAAGTTATAAAGACGCTACATATTACGTTATATAAGCGCTATCTAATATGTTATTGTATTTGATAATATTTTCAATAATTAACTAATTATATTATCGTCTATATATTTTTTGTGCATTTTACAGGTGAACAAGATTCACAATCCAAGAGATTTTGAAACAATCATTGGCCTTCTTGTTGTGCGGCAGAAGATGGTTTTAATTCATTGAGTTTAACATAATGGTGTTGTTTTAATTGTTTCATCGTAATGACCAACTTTTGCAGTTTTTAGTTGTTTTCTTGTTAGCTTGCAGCTTTAGTACCATCACTTCACTATTTGGTGTCAATTTCTTTTAAATTAATAATATGAATTTATAATTTCTCATTCATAGATTGATGATAACGATAATCCTGTTGTTGAATGACAATTTAATTTAAGATTAATTTTAGATAATTTTTAACTTAAAATGTTATTATGTTCAACCTAAAAAATTATACATATTTGTAACATTTTTTTATTGCAACTGAAAAGTTATATTACGAGTTTTAGGGTTTATAACCAAAAATGTTATAAAAAAATATAGTATTTTCGATCTCAACCTAAAATATTATTTTGTCCAACCAAAAAGATTACACTCTTAATAAATTTTTCGACGGTAGTCGATTTTTACCGGTTTTTGACCTTATATTAACCAACTGTATTTTCGAATTTAAGTCTAACAAGGTTGTTTTTCTAATTTATTATTACACTTTATATGATGATTGGGCCTGTAAATGAACTGAATGTTCAGCGAACCGTTTATGAACCGTGCGACGGGAAGTTCGTTTATTTACGTTTATTTATTAAATGAACGAACATGAACAAGATTTTGTGTTCGTTTAATTAAATGAACGAACACGAACATAGGCCTCGTTCGTTCATTTACGTTTGTGAGCGTTCGATTATATTCGTTTATGTTCATTCATTTATGTTAACCCAATCTTCTTAAATCAATTTTGGTGATCAATTTGTAAGTATCTTAAAAATATTAATTAATCTGATATTCTGATGACCAACTCCATAATTAACCCAATTTTATTTGGAGATTAAATCCAATATGTTAACCCGTGAGGCACCTCGCACCTATATTCATTTTCCCCCTTTTTTTCCCCAAACTCTAGTGTTCGCGGGAGAGTAGAGACGATCGGTGAAAGCTTCAAAACAAGTTATATTATAGTGCAATATAAAGTTTTGCAGGTTTGTTTTCATCTTTTTCTCTGTTTTATTTGGCTTAATAGTTGATATGTAAATTTATTGTGAGTATCTTCACATCTAAAACAAGAAATCATCATACTTCTTTCTAGAAATAGATGGGAAGATAAAGGTAACAATCGGAAGTATATGAGCATCAGTAAAGAGAAAAATATATAGAATTTGCCAGAAAACAAAACAAAGGTTTCTATGCAATTTATGAAAAAGAGTGTAATAGCGGAAGTAATAGGTTTTACAGGAAGAGCCCATTAATAAGTAGAAAATACGCTTTGACAATAAACTTTTGTTTTCATAGTTCTTGTGTGACCTTTAGTTGTGGAGTAGACTTTAGGTACGTTAAAATTTTGAATGGTGGTTTAGCAATAATATCATTTACGATATGTAGCATCGGAGGGATTTCAGATCTATGTTATTGCCTTGTAGTCCAATTTGTACCGTTCGAAATCTTCATGCTGTTAAATTTTCTACTCTGCCAACGGAAAGGGTCATTATTAACAAATCTCACTAAAGTCTAACATTGATGTCACAAAACTATTAGCCGGCGAATTTATTAGAATTACGTAGTGGAAAATGATTGTTCATATGTAATCATAGACCACTAAGATAAATGTTATAGCGTTAAATTAAAGTCCTGTGAATCATTTAATATCTTTAAAAGATCGATCAAAATAACTGATATCTTCAAATATTTCATCACTGCTAATCAGCTCTTACGCTATTTATCACTGTAGATTTGGTTTATTTGCATTGTCGACTATTTTTCATGAAAGAACAATGGAATGTAGGGTCTCCAACGTTTATGTTCGTGTTCGTTTATGTTAGTTTATTTATTAAATGAACGAACATGAACATACCTCTGTTCGTATGCGTTCGGTTCGTTTACAGGCCTTATGATGGTGTATGTAACCTGTAATTATATTTTCTTGTGCTTGTGCGTGTGTTTATGTATTGATGATTTATTTTACACGTACGTCATATTTTAGATTCTTCTTTTATATTTTCATAAGAGATCATATCATGCATGATAATTACATGTAAATTATACATTTTGCAGTTCATAGATGGTGATGTTGAAGAGGATGATATACCCTTTACAAAAAAATTCAACTTTAAAAATAAAAATTTAGAGGGTAAATTACGTATTTAGTACTTAAATTATCAGTTTTGATCTACTTTAATATCTAAACTTTCAATTGTTTTCAAAATTTAACGTTAAGTTTTTAATAGGATATTAAATGAAATAAAAATTAAATGTTAGGTATGATTTTGAAAAAAATTAAAAACTTAAATACTAAAATTGATAGTTTAAACAACGCATAGTTTACCTAAATTTGAAAGGGTTGGTCGATTTGTCCTCCTGACTGAAGTTGGAGGAATTATAAACTAAAATAAAATAGAAAAATCAAATAATTTTTTTATAGCAATCCAAATTTTCTTGTTCAACAAACAAAGAACAAGATCTAGAGAAAGATTCTGGAATGGAGAAGAAATAAAAAAAATTGGTAGAATATTGAAATGTTGAAGATTAATTTTTAAAATCATAATTAAAACAAAATTATTATATTTATTATTATTTTAAAAATATTAATTTTAGCTAATGTTAATTTTTAATATTTTTTGTTAATTAAAGGATTCAACAATTTTCTTTTCACAATGTGAGCATTATTTGTATAGTTTATCATATATACAAGGTTAGGATTCATTAATATATAATTTTATTTTTAAATTTTACACAAATTTAAGATAGTTGAATGAGTAAAAATTGACTATTGAGATTAATTCTTTTTTCAATAAATATATTTTTATTTTTTACTATTCACATTAATCATTTTATTTAACACGTTTAACTATTCTAAATTTATGTAAAATTAAAAAATTTATATTATGTGATTTGATCGTGATTGATATATATATTTATAAGCGGTAAGTAAGAAGGTAGGTCATGTAAATGTTTGACTTTCGTAATGTTAAGGTGAGGATATGTCAACAAAGGTGGTCGCATCTTTTCAACCCATCTCACCCATTTTTAAATTTAATCATTTTCTATTTTTTTATTCTTTAATAATCCCCCACCAGAAATTAAATACCAAATAAAAATAGTAAATTATAATTTTTTTATCACTAAACTTCTCTCTTATTTTGATCAATGAACTTCAAAAATTTTCAATTTTTCACTAAACTTTGTTCATGTGGGTTTTTTTTGTAGCTCCACCATTAAATAATTAACGATGTTAAAACGATATCATTTTAAAGAGATAGTTTTTTACCAAAATGATGTCGTTTTGTATCTATATAACAACATATTTATAACTTTGTTAGTGAGAAAACGATTGAGCAACAAAAAAAACTTAATGTATTAAGTTTAATGAAAAAATTGAAAAGATTTAAAGTACAGTGATTAACATAAGAGAGAGAATAAAGTTTAGTTACCAAATTTATAATTTATCAAATAAAAAATATTTTATTCCGCTCTATACAACCTCCTCTCCATTCTTGAAGTTTTTAAATTATTATAACATAATAATATTCATATCAATTTTCAATTATTCCCTTCAATTCCATCCAAAATTAATGTTGAAAAAGAAGTAGAAAAGAAGCTTCTTTTTCTTCATGCCTGGTACTGGTAGACCATGTGTGTATATCTATCCTTTATGGTAGTCTAAAGTGGCCTACAATGCTAAAGCTGACTGTCAAATTCTGTACAAATACTCTCTTTTCTCTCTTTTTTTTTAAAGGAAAAAAACCCAGAGCTCCAATTCTCAAGTTATTGCTGCTGTTTAAAGCTTTGATCTAGGAGAATATAGGAGAAAAAGAAAAAAAGAAAAGGATGGTTATGGAGGAAAGTGATAAGCCAATTGAGGTAAGAGCTATTGAATCTTTGGGAAAAGGATTTGATATTAGCGGAGATTTCAGGTTGAAATATGCTAAAGGAACGAGGTTGGTGGTGCTTGATGAGACCAATAAAAGAGACATTGTATTGCCAGGTGCTTTTACTCTCAAAGATGTTTCGCAAGATATTCATCTTGATAAAGGCGATCGTATCCGATTCAAATCAGATGTTCTTGAATTCAATCAGGTCCGTTTTCCTTTCTTCCCCCCCCCCCTTATTTGATCAAATATTTCGGGATTTTCACGTGTTAAAATAATAATTGAGATGTTATTTTGGGTACCCAATTCTTAATTTTTTTTCAAACTTCGATCGGTCATAGGTCATAGTAACAGTCTGAAATGGCCAACTTAAAATCTACGAACTCTATAGTTGCCGAAATTTGCGGGATTGAATAAGTAGACAAATTTTGACTATGGGAAATGCTAATGAATGCCTGATGCTATCAGTGAAAACATTTTTCCATTGTATTTGAACTACATATTTTTGAAAATAGAGCCATGCCTTGTGTTTTATAAGCATTAGTTTCTGTTGAATCAGCCTTGGAAGTGGTGGGGATAAAAAGTCACCTTTTTGTCACAAGTGGATAGACTTGTATTTTCAACTCTGTTGACCAAGTACACCTTTTTTGAAACTTTAAAGTTTCTTGGAAAACAAAGCTAGGTTACATGCATGATTGGATTTGTATTTGAGATACACATAAGTTGGAAAGGAATTTGGGTTGTATTTGTATGGATAATTAGATTTGTCTCTAACAATTCTTTTACTACCATATCTGTGATGAAGGTGGGAAGGGGGGGGTAATTAAATTCATGGAACTTTCACCATTTGGAGTTCCTCTTCTTTCTCTGGGATTTTGACATCAATAAGGAATGAAATAGTGATATTGAAGGGTGGAATTCTACGATTGCCTTTCATGTCTTATAAATGGTTTTACCCTGTGTTTTTCTCTCTCTCTAGATTCTGCTATTAAAATAAGCTTCAAGCTTAGGGGATATGAACATATTTTGTGTTGACTCAACTTTTTGAAAGTCTAGAGCTCAGTCAAGAGTTGATCTCTAGTTAATTCTCTGTTAGGAACAATTTTCTTCCACTTTGATTTCTTATTTTTATGTTTTGGTTCATAATTTTAGCCATAATCTTGATTTTGGATTTCAGTAGAGTTGTGATAAAATGTTTCCACCCCTTTTTTTTCGTTTTAAAGAGCATTTTTCGTTGGAGCTCAAAGTTAATCCTGTTTATATAAATAACGAATAATTTTATCTTTGATGTTTATTATGATGTGTGCATTTGAATATGAATGCTAGTTAGTAATGTTTTATTTGAATTCATCTTCCTGTAAATGGAGTTCACAAGTGTTGATGTGCTGAAATTAATGAATTCTGGTAGGTAAAAAACAGAGAAAATTCAGTGATAGAAATTCTTATATATAAGCATGGAAATGGTTGCCCTTTGATTATTTACTATTTATGGACTGCTGCAGTGGAAAAGCTTCAGAGTTTGAAGCTTATGATAATCAATGAATAGGTATTAAAAAGTTAACTTGAAGTGAACCTCAATTCCAGAAATAAAAAACTATATTCATGAGTTTCCGATATCTGCTCCATGATCTTGGAACTCTACTAGTCCATAATAACAGCTGATTTTAGTGAGATATCTAATATACTGAAAACATTTTGATAATATACTTCAAAGTCCAATTGTCAAAATATCTCTAAGGGATTTCTACCCGAATCTTCATGATGAAGAAAGTGAAAAAGAACTAAAGGCAAGATTTAATGTGGAAACTATCTAAGATTATTTATATTCAATGCTTTACTGGTTAAAGAGCCTTATAGAGTTTGAATAAATTTATTTGATACTGTATCAATGTTGTCCCTTATCTTTGCTCCCAAATCTTACTTCTCGTGCAGATATCTGAGTTACTTAATCAGAAGTCTTCAATACACGGAAAAGTTCCTTCAGGCTATCTTAACACTGTTTTTGATTTGAGTGGAGACTGGCTTCATGATGCTGCAGACACCAAAAATCTTGCTTTTGATGGTTACTTTATTTCATTATACCATTTACATATTACTGCATCTCCACTTATCCTACATGATAGCATTAAGAAATCTGTTCCATCTCACTGGGATCCAGCAGCATTGTCTAGGTATCTTTCCGATGAATTGTCTTTGCAATTTCTTGGCATTTTGATCATTATATATCAATGAGAAATCGTATGGGTTATGTGGAGGCTGTTTGCATGATTTTTAGAAATATGAAGAATGAATACTGCCAACTGAATGTTTTATTAGTCTTGCCTATATAAAAGGAAATATATTACTGGTTCTGCAGAATTAAACGTGGTTATGAACTGGTTAGGTTGACCATATGGCTGGATGCTTGAAAAAGTATAGCATAAATAACTAATTAAAGTATGTGATGATGAAAGAGATATTACACTTGTTTTCAGCTTTCTCGTGAAATACTTTTGGTCTAGAAAATGTTACTTCCTCACTGATTTGCTCCCAAAGTAGTGCAATTCTTTTGATTGACCATGAGATTTAACATGGGTGCATTCAATCCTGTACCATAATCTTTCAGTTTGAATACTGTATACCATACCCTATCCAGCCTCAGATTAAGGTAGCCATTAACTTCCGACCTTAACATTAATTAACAGTTCATGAGTTCTGTTCATAGTACCAGTACAACCGGAAAATAGCTTTCTAAATCCTTGACTTTCTCCATTCAATAATAGTTTCCCATCTCTTTTAAGGTTGTATCTGTGATAGGAGTCCTCGGAAACCTATCCATTGACTCCTATCCATTCAGACAGAATGCATCCACCCCAAGCTGTCATACATGATTTATCATAGTTAGTGTTCTTTCTTCTTCTTCATGACAACATATATGAAGTTTAAACTAAAACATGAATGCTTGAGAGATTTATCACCAAAATTTTGGTTAGCATATCACTTTCCAATGGTAAATTAAGGTGGTTGGAGAATCCATATATATACACATACAAATATATGAGTGAGTAAATTTCCTACTGATCAAGATTTCTGTCACGTAATATTGTACCCAAATTGCAAAATTTAGATAATTGGAAGAACCTGAATAATTTTGGTTGCTTGGCGTCTTTAAGGTCATTATTATTGGTTTCATGCAGTACATATCTAACAAATTGTATTAGGCAGGTTCATACAAACATATGGGACACACATAATAGTCGGCATGGCTATTGGAGGTCAAGATTTGCTATGTGTCCGACAGAACTATTCCTCTACAATTCCTCCTCCTGAGCTCAGAGGGTATTTGGAGGATCTTGGAGATGTTATGTTTTCAGATGGGAAAAGCCCTTCATTACTACAGAGAAAAACAAGAGACGGCAAACAAAAAGTATTAGCATCTCATTTAAACTTAAGATCTCTTTTGTTCTTTTGTAAACACCAATTTTAGTTTTCTAAATTCCGTTTATTTTGTAGGTGCCGGAGGTCTTTAACCACATTTTGCAGTCAAAATCATTGCAGCTGGCCAGCATTGCAGAAACGTCAAGCAAAGATGTGAGTCAAGAATTTGAATGTTACTCTTATGTCATTTTTGTTTTAATTATTAAAATCCATAACTATTTATTTTCACCTTGACAGGGACTCACTATCATTTCATCAAAAAGAGGAGGAAATGTGTTCTTGCAGAGTCACTCCAACTGGCTCCAGACTGTACTGGCTAAACCAGAAGGAATTTTGTTCAAGTTTGTTCCAATTACTTCTCTTCTGACTGGAATTCCTGGAAGTGGGTATCTTAGCCATGCGATCAACTTGTATCTTCGTTGTAAGTATTGCTGTGCTAGATCTATGGTGATAACTTCAGCTCTGGGTTTATGCTTCAAATATGATTTTGAAGATGGTTGGAGTCCTTCTCTAATAATAAAATTAACTAAATAACTTGGATAGAGCAACAGTTTGGGGGTAGGACTAGGATCTGGTTATATATTTGGGACGACTAGTGAATTAGTTAAAGATGGAACCCCCCAATAAGTCCCTTTTCTTGATTTACTTAAAATTGGATTAAGGGATCATTTTGCCCCTGAAGTAAAACCAAATCAGTAATTTTGTCTATGTTTTTTAAATTACATTAAATTTTCTTTCGAAATCATTTAATTGCATCAATTTTGTCTTTTGACTGAGGTTGACCGTTACGGTGTTGACCTGGCGGTCCACTGTATTGATGTGGCACTCCACTTTGCAGACGTGTCAATTCACGTGTGAATGATAACATGACAGAGGAGTTGAATTGATTTTTTTAATCGACTTAGATGGCATAATTGATTTTTTGGCCAAGTTCAAGGGCATAATTAATTTTAATAGAAAGTTGGAGGGTTTATTTAATCTTTAGACAAAAAATAAGTAAACTAAGAGATTATTAAAATTTTAAAAATATTAAAAAAGTAAAACAATAAAAAATTCCAAAAAAGTCGATTATAATCTTGAACTCGATGAAAAAATCAATTATACCATTGAAATCGGTTAAAAAAATCAGTTCAGCCCCTCTATCACCTCATTATTCACACGTGGACTGTCGCATCAAGACAATGGACTGTCATGCCAGTATCGTTAACTGTCACATCAACATCGTAATGATCAATGCCGGCCAAAGGCAAAAATTAATGCAACTAAATGACTTCAAGGGTAAAATTGATGCAATTAAAAAGCAGGGACAAAATTACTGATTTCAGTTTACTTCAGGAGCAAAATGAACCCTAAAGCCTTTAAAATTCATAATTCTTCCGAAGCATAAAAATAAATACATTTATATGTGTGTTCAAAGTCAATTGGAGAGTTTTTTTAACTTCTCACTTTTGCAATCGTTTATATTTTGTGTGATGTTAAAGTTTGAGGTTTGTTTAGTTCGGGAGAAAGTGCTTCAAGATCTAAGGGAAGGATTTTCCCTATGTTGTGTGCCCACTGGAAAAAAACATGCCCCATATCCCATTGTCTGAAGTGACATGTCAAGGAATATACTTGAAAGAAATAAAATGAACATTTGGCGTAATTAGTGGTTGTTTGGGGACTTTAGCCTTGTTATTTTTAACAATCATTTTACAGATCATTTAATCTTGATATATTTTTTTTTTTTATATTTATAGTTTCATGTGATAATAATTTTCTTTAACTTGCTGAACTGTGTGAAGACAAACCTGCTCCAGAGGATTTACGTTATTTCTTGGAGTTTCAAGTTCCACGGCAATGGGCCCCTATGTTCTGCGAGCTGCCTCTTAGGCATCAGAGGAAAAAATCTTCTTTCCCTTCCCTGCAATTTGCTTTCTTGGGCCCTAAGATACACGTCAGCTGTACGCAGGTAGTTAAAGCATTATCTTCTAATAGCCTGTTCATCACTTTTATTTATTTTCCTCATCATATTTTTCTTTATTTCCATCAAAACATAAGACTCGTAGGATCCAACATATATAATTCCTTAAGGAGGGAATGCACTAGCATTGCAGAATATAATTTAAAATCATGACTGCGTCTGATTCTGGACTAAACTAAAATTCGGTGAACAAACTGCTTGTATGGAGAATCCTGAAAGTTTAATATTACTGCAGCAGTTGTACTTGAAACCAGTCGGTGTATGGCATTGGCAAGTATGACTTGCTTATGTATGGTACTAACAATGTTGGTGGGTTCTACAAGGTTTGATGTAGTCACCTTATTACAAGTGAAATGCCGCTTTCATGCGCTTAAAGGGAGTTGAGTTACTACGATTTTTTCATTGGTGATATAATAAGTATATCTTAAATGATCACTTTTTCCATGGTCAAATTGTCTGGTACTCTGGTAGAAAATTTAGCTGAGTCCTAGAAGTGGAAATTAACGTTTGAATTGAATTTTGTACCAGTAACAACTAACAACAAACACACATTAGTATCCTTTAAGTTAAAATATGAAGATCTTTTAAACATGGATCTTTGGGGAAATTTGTCTGGTTTTATATACGTATCTGTAAGGAGTTTTACCTTTCTAGTCCATGTAGATGTATATGTAGGCATGTATGGATAGCTATGCAGATGTGCTAAATGTGTAAATATAGGTTTAAATTGCTTGACCACTCCAAGGTTCTATCAAATTTCATTTAACTTGAACTTGCAGCCATAATTTCAGCCTAGTTCTCTGTTTTTACTATAAAAGTAAATTTAAATATTTCATCAATTGCAGGTTTCAAGTGATCTGAAACCTGTAGTTGGCCTCCGTTTGTACTTGGATGGAAAGAAATGCAACCGATTAGCAATACATGTGCAACATCTCTCAAGTCTGCCAAGTATGATGTTATCCACTTCCGACAGACCATGCCGATGGCGAGGTTCAGATGACTATAAGTCCAGTGATCAATTTTTAGAGGCGGTCAGGTGGAAGAGATACTCGAATGTTTGCACATCTGTTGTCACTCATGATCCTAACTGGTTGCAAGAAGTTCCAAGTGGTGTTTTTATCGTAACTGGTGCACAGCTCCTTTGCAAAGGGAAGTGGCCAAAGACAGTTTTGCATCTTCGTCTTCTGTACAATCATATACCCAACTGCACTATCAGGAAGACTGAGTGGGCAGCTGCACCGGAAACTTCTCGTAAGGCCAATTTCCTCACAAATCTTAGCTCGGCTTTCTCCTTTACTCAACGGACAGTCATCGGACAACAAAAGCAGGCTCCAACTGCACTTAATTCAGGAGTATATCCTGATGGTCCACCCATACCAATTAGCTCCGTAAAACTGCTAAGGTATGTTGACATATCGGAGGTAGTGCGCGGTCCACATGATGCACCGGGACATTGGTTGGTAACTGCAGCCAAGCTAGTGAATGAAAGTGGTAAGATTAGCTTGCAAGTAAAGTTTGCATTGTTGGATTATCCATGACTTTCTGCCTCTATTGTACATATCGTGAGACTAATATATATATATATATATATATATATATATAGGTTAGGATCTATTTACACAATATAAAACTCTTTTAGTTTTAGACGGATCTAAGATCATTGGATGAGTGAAAATAGATGGTTGAGATTAATTTCTTATTTTTTCAGCAAATATTTTTTCATTTTTTACTGTTAATCCCAGTGATCACTTTGCATTCATCCAATGGTCTTATGTCTACATAAAATTAAAAGAGTTTTACATTGTGTAAATGGATCCTATCCCTATATATATATTATAGATTATTGGTTTAATCTCTGAATATGTTGAGAGTATTGTTGATAAAATATATATACCCAAATCAGAATCATTGGAACCACCTAAGCTGCCGCCCAAGTGAAAAAATGAGTGTCGCCATTGATTTTTTCTTCTAATTTTTTAGTTCTTTATTCTAAAAAAAAACTGTTTTTGTATTTTAAAAAACATTTGAAGAGCATGAAAAGCTTTGATACAATGATACTAACAGGACACAGAGGGAAGAACTTTATATTTAATAAACTAAAAACAACTTCCAATAAAACTCGAGAATTAATAATTACAAAATATTACAAAGAAGATTTTTTTACTTGTCAAAATTAGGCACTCGAAATTGTGTCTGATTCTATTTCATTAGATCAAAGTCATTAATAAGATATTTTATAGATAAATAACGAACAATTTCTAAGTAGTTTGACAATAAATCATCCTCCATTTTATTAAGCAAGTGAGTCTTCACTAATATCATGGTTGAGAAAGCTCGTTATGTGGTGGGAGTAGAAACAGGAAGAGTCAAAACAAGACGACCAAGTCGATCAGCAAGATGATAAATAATTAACTTTTTAGTCTTTGCTAATATTTGACAAAGTTTTAAAATTTTTGATGTCTTTCTCAATTCAAGGCTCCCTCTAGTTTTTTACTCAAATTGTTCTAATTGAACTTTCAAGTATAATATTTCCTGCTCCATGAAGTCTTCTGGATAAAATTTAGTTGCAAGCTTGCATATATCATCAATGTAAAATAATTGATAACAATCCCTTGGATCTATATCAGAATTAAGCTTAAGTAACTTCACTTTGTAATCCTTGAATCTAATGTACATCTCTTGTATTTGAGAATCAATAGCAGAGATAAATATATCAACACGATAACGATGCTTAATTGAGATGTCGTTTAAGTCAAGGTGTCCTTCTCTCTCCTTTATACGAAACATTCATATCAGGAATCTCTATATAATGTTTATCACAAAAAGACATTACCTTTTCAAGTAAAGGATCTCACCCATCTCTAAAGATTTGTAGAAGTTTTTTTTTGTACTTGATGCTAAATGCAAAGCATTTAGTATATCTTGAGATTTACGCTGTAAAGCTTTACTAAGATCATTAGTGATGCTCAAAAGATCTATCATAAAGTGCAAGAAAAATACAAACTCAAAATATGACATCACATCATAAATACTATTTACTTCACTTCTTTAAGTCAAATTTCCATTACATATGATGTTCTTGAAAACATAACAAGTAGCATCAAACATCTTGTGCAACCTATAAAGAGAATCTGAATGTGAACCTCGCCTTGTATTTTCTGCACGTTGTAAAGTGCCAATTTGATTTTTTTTTCTCTTTCCTATGTCTAGCCCTTCAAGAGCAATCATATCTTCAATATAACTTGTTTGGGCATCTTTCAACTGATCTTGTCTCTTACATAAAAAGAAAACTAAATTTATGATGATAATTAGATATGAAAAAGTTGTGTTACTGTAATCACTTCTTTGGATGTTCTCACCAAGGTCAATTGTAATCTATATGCAAGACAATAAATGTAATAAGCAAATGGACATTCTTTAAGGAGTGGTGCTTGCAAACCATTTAATTCTAATAGCATATTGTTAGCCTCATCATATCCTTTACCTTTTATGTCTTTGACATTCAAACAATAATGTGAAAAAAACAACACAAAACTCATTCAATGCGGACGAAGTAGTTTACTTCACATGGACTATATAAAAAAATTCACGTATAATACATTCTTTATCAACATATCTCAACACAATCGACATTTTCCCCCTTTTGATTTATCGCGGGTTTTATCCACTATGACACACAATTTTTGTTCTCTGGTTTCATCTCGAATATACTTTTGTATCCTAGACTGAAAAAGAGAGAGAATCTCTTAAATTCTCGGAAAAAAAACATATTTTGAATTCTTTAGAGCATTGTTCAAAATCATAGTTATCTCGTCATTGTAAGAAGCGAAGTAACTTACTAATTCAAGAAAATTTCCGTAATTAGTTGAATTTTAAGTTTCATCACGATCCCGTAAAGCATAACCTTGAAAGGTCAACCACTTCACAACTTTTATAGAAACTTTGTTGCAACCGATTTGATTACAATTTTTTGAGAAATTTGTTTCTCGATCACCTTTTTAATGTGTTGAAGAGAGTTTCTTAAATCATGATAGCTTTCCATAACCTTTTTGTGGAGAGAGTTTGCATCTTTCCCAACATGAATAAGAAAAACACAATTGCATCCCGAACTAACTTTCTTCCAAGATCGAAAGCCATCACAAGTAAATGAATTTGATCCAAGACGTATAGTGGGCTTATTAAAGTGAAAAATTGAAGATAACAAGCAACTTCTTTTGTTGGTGAATTTGATCCAAGACGTATAGTGGGTTGATAAGGTCCCTTAGAGATACACGCTCTAGGAACATCATCTTGTTGATTTGGGGGAAAATCCCAAATAAACTTTTGTATTTCATCGTACTCAGTAGTAGATGCATCAAATATTTCTTCACTTTCATGTTCAACTCTTATAGCTTTACTTGGATGGTTATCCACCTCCGAAGAACTAACGGGGGCTACTTTCGGATTTTGAGAACTCTCATTAATATTAGGACAATCGCTATTAAATTCAGACTCCTTTGGATAAGTCAAATTTTCAATATGAGAATAATCGATATAATTGGTGTGAGAATATCAAAATTTTAATTTAGAGTGACCCAGATGTGGTGATGATTAGATACTCAACTCACTCCCTAGAGAGAGAGATACAAAGAGAGAAATAAAAATTTAAATCATAGGAGAGGTCATAGGACAACACAATTACTTACATCCATAGTGACACAAATTTTATCATAAAATTATAAAAATTGTGATAAAAGTTTTCAATCACAATGAAATTATCACTAAAATAACAATTGCTATAGTGCTTTGGTGTGCATCGTGACACTTCATGTACATTGTGTGACACTTTGTGTGCATCGTGGCCATTTGTGTGCATTATATGACTCTTCATGTGTATCTAGAACTCCATGTGCATTGTATGACATTTTGTGTGTATCGCATGGCACTTTGTTTACATCAAGGCACTTCGTGTGCATCGTGTGGTATTTCATGTACATCGTGTGACACTTTGAGTGCGTTACTTTGTGACATTTATGTCATTATATCTACTCGTGTTTCATATGCTCTTCATAGTTTCCTCTCGATTCATCGACCTTACGCAATTTGTTCCGTTTGGTGCAAGTACAACATTCCGATGCATTGGAACTTCTGAATTCATCATGAAATAATGATATATGAAATCATCATCATGAAATTATGGTATATGAAAATGATAGTTAGATAATGTTACATCGTTACCAATAGCGATTGTGGTAATAATTATCGTTAGTGGATTATGGTTGGGCAATAGATAACAATTATGATGATTAAGTTCAAATGAATATTGGTATAAATGTTATAGTTACTTATTTATATGGTAGTAGCAAATAATAGAATAAGAATTATTCTATAAATCGAATAGCATGACATGAGAAAACGAATAAATAAAAGTGAGAGTTTGATAAATTGTTTAGATAGTTATTAAATGAGCACAAAAATTATAGCACGAATCATGAATATTTATAGATTCAAGGTCATAATAAGCACACATAAATGGCATAACAAGTTTTCAAGTTTCCTCTGGTGATTAATTATGAATTTATATTAAAGTGTGATGCTAAATGTGTATTTAGAAGTTTTTTAGTGAATAAAAATATAATATGATTGATTCATATTTGGATTTGAATCGTTAAATTAATGTAATATGTTTGACTCAATTTTTTATTAGATTGAGTTGAGATGTTACATATAATATAAAAAAAGGTTCTTAAACTTAAAAATAATTATTTATTAGTAAAAATAAATTATTATTATTATTATAATATTATCAATCTATAGCTTTTGTTTTATACATCAAGTTTTACTATTGAGTTTATAACAAATGTCATACATTGATATACACTAATATAAAATAGAATAAAATTCATAAATGATATTAAAATATGCTAAAATGATTTTTTGACTCTAAACTTTCAAAAGTTATAAAATTAACATTAAAAGTTGGTATTCTTTTAAAAATAGACACTGACTTTTAACTGTTGTTAAGGGAGTGACGTAATATGTTAAATTAATAGAAAATATCTTATTTGACCTCATAATCGTAACTAACATTACATTTGATATTTTTAATATTTTTTAAGAAATAATTCATTTTTTATTAATTTAGTCACAATTAATAATTTATTCTTGTTATTAGATATTAAAATTATAAATTATATTTTTTAATTTTATAAATATAACTACAATTAAATAAAAATAGTTATAAAATAATATGATGAATTAAAAATTTTCAAAAAGTTATAATTTCAAAATATATTTTTATAATTTTAAAAAAAATTACAAAATTTCATATATTTTAAAAAATAAAATTTAAATTTATGATTAGAAATATTGAAAAATATCAAAATAAATTTTTAATTACAATTGAGGGGTCAAATGAGATTTTTTTTATTAATTTAATATGCCAGGAGTATGAGTGTTCAATGTCAATGGTTGAGAGTTATCTTTGAACATATACTACCTTGTACTTATCCCAGATTATAAAAAATATAATGACTATTTATATTATCATATAAAATTAATAGTGTATATCAATATATGAAATTCATTCTAAAGTTTTTAACCCATTGAATATACTCAAAAGTTATGTAATATATACACAAAGTTTATAAGTGTGTTGAACCCATCAAATTACTTCAGTGCTAAAATAAATTATTATTCTCCTTTGAGGTACGAATAATGAACACATTTGTATTAGCATATATATATATATATATACTAGGGTAAACTTTAAAAATGATAATTTTTCTTTTATATTTGTATACTTTATTCATTAAATATAAAAATTACACTTTGGTCACTTATGTTATCATTATTAAGTTTTGGTTACTGAGACGTTGAATGCCATTAGTTTGATGGTGTGATATGTTAGTAAAAGGAGTTAAATTTTAATTTGACCCCTAAAGTTTAGACAAATACTAATTTGACCCCTAAATTTTAGATAAAATATCAATTTAACTCATAAATCTGATCAAAGTCCCCAATGCTAACCACTACTCACCATCATCATTGGTCACTATCGGCTATCATTGGCCACAGTTGTTGACGATCGTTAGACCTCATAGTTTTTAGTTCACTCATTTTTTATGTCCTAAACGTGAATTCAATGTTCGTTTCATCGAAAAATTTCTCAAACTCCACAAATCTATTATATAACCCTTGACTTGTTTTAAAATTAAACCATGATAATAAAATTATCATTAATATTTTTTTTTTTTAAAATAAGGACACCACAAATATAAATCTATAGCGTAATTGTTAATATCCTTTTAAAAATAATGATACTTGAAAATAATGGGCTTTATTGTAAACCTAAAGTAGTTCAGGGACAAGTATTCAATTTACCCCTTTTTTTAAATATGTTTTTCTCATTTGGCACCTTTCTCGAAACCCTAACTTTCCCTTACTTGCATAGCACACCCTCCGTATAAGCTTCTCGTTATTTGTCTTTCGCGCTACTAGTCACCTCTGTCCGACTCTCAAGCACCTTTCACGAACAAACACGTACACCAAAACCCCTCAGCTCTCCCACCATATGCTTCTCTCCTCCAAAACTCAAATCCTCTACCATTTCCTCGCTCGTTTACCACCACCTACTTTGCACGTCACCTCTGGAATCCTACTGGTCTCCCCTCATTGTTGGACCCAACGCCCTCGTTGGTCGCCTTACATTGCACCAATCCCTATTAACCAAAAATCTCAATGCCTCTACACCTTCCTCTGCTTCGTTTCACCTTGCCACCCTACATCTACAGCGCACTGGCTTAGCCTTCAATCGAACGTCATCTATTATCAGAACCAAACCCCTGTCATCGCATATCCCTCACACAAAAACCCTCTCTCTCTAATCTGTCACCTGCATTCCAGAACATCTGACATGGTCAACTGACCCCCAGACCCTCTTCCCTATTGATTACGCACCGCTCGCCTTTCCAAGCCAACACCTTGCTCAATGTCTGCCGTTCAAATACCAGTGCAACATTATTTATTTCAATTTGATAATCTAACTAAAATATTTAAGGATCAGGTTAATATTTTATCAAAAATTTAGGAGTAAAATTAAAAATTAACCCCTTTTACTAATATACTATATCATCAAGCAAACAACATTAAACGTTGACTAAAACTTAATAAAACCATAACGTAACTTATCAAAATGAAATTTTTTTGAATTTAATGAAAAAAAGTATACAAGTATAAAAGGCAGTGACTATTCTGATAGGTCAAACTATATTTTATCTGTATGTACTGAATTTTAGTTCAAATCAAATGTGAGTACATAATGGAACTAATATCAAATTTTGAACAGTGAAAACCCAAACTTGAAAAGACGGAATGTTGGCCCAAAGAGTGGTCAAAAGTATTACATAGCATGTTAGTATTTGATTGAATTGAGTCAAGTTAAAAACTTTTAAATTATTCGCGTTGATGAGTCTTATTTATAACTCAAACTTAACTTGAAGTTTTTTCGAGTCGATTTTTCGAGTTTTTATTTAAATTCAATTATAAAAGTTTATAATATTATGATATTAATTGATTTCAATTTAAATGAGGTTTTTATAACTATATATAATACATAAATATTTCTTCATATCTTTTTTCTTAGGAAGGAATCATTGTTGTTCTTAGAGGGTTCGAGCACCAGCGAGTGCAGAGGTGATTAAGTGTTTATTGTCAACTGATTGATAGTACTTAGAACAAATATTACTTTGTAATCACCTTAGTTTAATATATATATATATATATATATCATAAAATGTCGAGATATTAGTCTTAAACTTGATAATTAATTTATTAATTACTAAAAATTTAAGTTATTTGAGTTACAATTCGAGTTATTATTGAACTTGAATTTTTTTAGAAGCGATTCAAATTTATGAATTTATAATTTAAAGTTAATTTTAATCAAATTTATGAATTTATAACTTAAAGTTAATTGTAATCAATTTTTTTAGCTGAATCAAATAAAAAATCAATTTTTCGAAACGGATTAAATTTTGCTAACGCCAAACCAATTACATAGGTCCTTACGTAATGCGAGCCACTGTAAACATCGGTCGTTACGTAATCGATTTCGCATCATCTTGTCTTTTAAATTCTCCCCATCATTTTTCAACACCCACACACGTCCCCAACAAGCTCTGCATCAGCTTTCACCGTTCAAACATGGCGAATTCAGAAGTTGGGAGGATAAAGTTGGGTTCCCAAGGCCTCCAAGTGTCGGCACAGGGCCTTGGATGCATGGGGATGTCGGCTTTCTACGGTCCTCCAAAGCCAGAACCCGAAATGATTGCTCTCATCCATCATGCAATAAACTCTGGGGTTACCTTTCTTGATACCTCCGATGTTTATGGTCCCCATACCAATGAAATTCTTCTCGGAAAGGCACTCAAAGATGGTGTTAGAAACAAGGTCGAACTGGCAACTAAGTTTGCTATAGATTTTACCGATGGGAAAAGGGAAATCCGGGGTGACCCTGCTTATGTCAGGGCAGCTTGTGAAGGTAGCTTGAAACGTCTTGGTGTTGATTGTATTGATCTTTATTATCAGCACCGGGTGGATACTAGGGTCCCAATTGAAGTCACGGTTTGTTTTTGTTTTAATTTTTTTTTTTTTTGGTCCTTTGTTCTGATTGTTATTATGGATTTAAGTTGTGATTTGGGTTGCTTTTTTTTGAATACCCAGATTGGAGAACTTAAGAAACTAGTTGAAGAAGGGAAAGTGAAGTACATAGGTTTATCTGAGGCGTCTGCATCGACCATTAGGAGGGCTCATGCGGTTCATCCAATAACTGCTGTGCAATTGGAGTGGTCGTTGTGGTCTAGAGATGTCGAGGCAGATATAGTTCCTACTTGCAGGTTATTATTTATCAATAAGACCTACTGATTTGGGGTTCTTGTTTTGATGCTAATCTTTGAATTTTTCCAGGGAACTTGGGATTGGGATTGTTGCTTACAGTCCTTTGGGGAGAGGGTTCTTTTCATCTGGGCCTAAAATGATGGAAACTTTGACCGAGAGTGACTTCAGAAAGGTTTGTTCTTTGTAGATATGTTTCACCATTGCATATTTGTACTTTCAGGCATATCTAGTTTCATGTTTTTGGGTATATTTTCTTAATTGAGATATGTAAATCAGAGAAAATCTACATCTGTACTGGCATAAGAAAGTTTAAGAGTTTCCGGTATTCCCTTGATGCTTAACTTGTTAATTGTTATACAACAGTCTCTTTGCTAGCATACTCTTTATGTTACTCAGACTTTAGGACTCAGGAGCGAGTGTCGAATATTGATATGCTCATTTTTCCAAGTTTTTTTCATCTGTTGAAGGATCGTTTGAGGTTCATATCATATCTCCATCCCCACATCCGTAAAAGTTTTGGACACAAATAATTTAAAGCACATGAACAGTTGGAGCAATATAGGCATCGTCTATAACAAATACCTCTCAATTTTAGTTTCAAGGTGCCTCAATGCTAGCAACCTTGTTCTTCCTAATTTAGTGGGAACCTCTTGTAAACTGGATTTAACTAGATGTTGGTATTTACCAAGTATAGATTTTCCATTCAGTCTCTATCTGTCCTGTGGTAATGGCTGAGTAGTTTAGAACTGAAGTTCGAGCATATTCGTAATGTTTTCCTCTTTTCTGCCATATTCCCCTGCCATTATGTAGTGAATCACATGCATGATGCATCAAGTTACCACCTAGTGAAACAAAATGGTGTGGTGGGAAGCTTCGAGACCCTTTTCGAATATTTTTGTCAAATCTGTATTGAGTAGTAATGCCCTCAATCTGCACATAGAGAATTTCTGAGGAGTCTGTTTTGGTATATATGATAGTAACCATTGGCTTCTTTTTAATACCAGAGCTGACTATATTTATGTCCCTAAATATGGTCCCTTTCCTTGAGTTTTTAGAAGACTGCAGGTATCTCTTGTGATCCCTTCCTTTGATTTTATCCATTACTAAGATGAAAAGCCTCATTATAAGCAAAACAGTTTACGATTATCTAATGTGTCTTGTATATATTTAAACAAAATGTCACGAAAGTTTCAAATTTGTGATATTAATCAAAGTCATGGGCCTTCTGAAATGTCTTTTGAGTCATGAATCTGTATTATTTACAGAGAATTTTGGAGTTGGTCATCTTTATTTTTGTACGAGATAATCATTTGAATGAATGTTTGTTTGTCACAGTATCTACCAAGGTTCCAACCGGAAAATCTCGAGCATAATAAACGACTTTATGATCGAGTTAATGGGATAGCAACAAAGAAGGGGTGCACCCCATCCCAGCTTGCATTGGCCTGGGTTCATCACCAAGGGAACGATGTCTGTCCCATTCCTGGAACCACCAAGGTCGAAAACTTCAACCAGAACATCCGAGCTTTGTCCATAAAATTAACACCTGAAGAGATGGCAGAGCTGGAATCCATTGCTTCAGCAGATTCCGTGAAGGGAGACAGATATAGCACAGCTGCCGCAACCTACCATGAGTCTGATACTCCTCCCTTGTCTTCATGGAAACCAACCATATAGATACAATCTTCAGTGTGAGTTATGGAACAAATGTACGGCCTTGGTAGTGTTCTATAAACAATAAGTTTCTACTTTGTTTTGAGAATAAATTTTCCGTGAGAAGTAATAATAGGTCTTTTGATGATATATGACAAGCTTGGTTGTAGGCTTGTAGCATATGTTGAGATTCTCTATTCCAGGTTAATAAAGAAAAGGTTTCTGTGAGTTATATTACAGTAAGTTGCATGGTCATATTGGCCTGTGTTGCTTGGATTTTTGTTTTTATTTTTACATATGTTCGACAATTGCAACTTCTTTCTTCATGGCAAAGACTGTCTTCTGAAATCGAGACAGGGCCTCCTTGATACTCCACTCTGCCATGTTTGATGTCATTTGCAGGGATGGAATAATATGTGAATGCCCACCAGGATCGAATTGAACGCCGAATGTACGGGCTGTAAGCAGAATATCGAATTCTGAAACACCTTGATTAGTTCAACTGGTGTGCCACACTTGCTTGCACCAGAGTAGCAATCAAGGAACTTACATGTGCTTTTTCGAGGCTGAACATTGGCTGATGTCTGGCTGCGATGCTTGGACTTGAGCACTGGCTAAAGAGAATAGATGTCGCCTTTTTTGGACTCCTTGCATGTTTCTACCAATGGATTACATCAATGCCGGTTGATGGATGAAAGTAAGTTGGATATGGTACGGCAATTTCATTTCAGTATGAGTTTGATTCTACAGATAACATTGTCATTATGGTTGAACCATTTCTGGCTTTGACATAAGCTTGTTATCCCAAACAGGCTTATTTCCATATCTCTGAAAATCCCAAGCAATCCTCCCTGCAACAAAGAAATGGCCTCAACCCCACAACCGTTTCCATTCGGCTCGTTTTCAAAGCCAGCCGGCAATATAATAAGCCAAAGAATCTCTTAAAGATGCGTTATAGTCAAAAAGAATCTCTTAAAGATGCGTTATAGTCACAAAGATATTGACGATGTAGAGGCCGGAGTAGAACGGTACAAAAACAGACGAAGCCAATGATGAATCATTGGTTAAACACCAGTACTGCTTCATCATGTTATGGAAAATGGCTTCAAGCAAGAACTGATTCGTTTCAAACCAACTCATATCAGAAAAAACACCTGGTGGGGTTTTAAATCTTAGTTCCGGACCCTGAATTCAACATTGATGAACACATACATCATTCGCTAAGCATTTTACAATCTCTTAGCAAATTAGAGTTGAATCTACCTGGAAGATGATGAACATGTGTATTTACATGAACATGGATTCTCTCTTTTCCCAACAATTTTCAGACCCTGAAACTTATTTTCCAGGGTGGGAAAATTCTGGGAACATTTGCTTTGAACAAACAAGGGGACTCCATAGTTAACATAAGTTAGATCTGAATAATACAAAGCAACATAAAGCAAGAAACAATGTAAACAATAACAGCGTTGGTGACTTTCTCCATAAACACTTCAGCGTAGAAAGTATCATATCATTCTACTAAAGTCACTTCGAGCATCAGCATTCAAATATTACTGCTCTTATTCTTAATTTTCTTTTTAAGCATCCATATCCAACATATATCCAGATAAAAGTAGAAAATATAAACTCTCCAAGGACCCTCCACCACATGAAAGAAAACGTCAAAAACAATTGAACATACCATGTCGGATGCATGCTCAGATCCGGTACTCACACCTAAGCCCAGGGACATATATCTAGATAAAAGTAGAAAATATAAACTCTCCAAGGACCCTCCACCACATGAAAGAAAACTTAAAAACAATTGAACATACCATGTCAGATGCATGCTCAGATCCGGCACTCACACCTAATCCCGGGTAACATACCACAGGGGGACAAACTAGCCAAAGATTGCACGACTTTATACAAAACCTATGATTCACTTAACGATATCTGTCTCTGTAGGTGCCATCCATTAAACAACAGTAAGGAAGCTGTTAAGATTTTGATGCTGACAAAGAGGCTGGCCCGGTTATACACAGTTCTTCAATGAATCTCCGGCTCCTTGGAAGAAGCAATATGATAGTGCAAAATCAGCCATGAAAATACCAACAAGAGAAATAACCACAGCTGATGTTGTTGATTCGCCTACACCTTTGGCTCCTCCCATGGTGGTTACCCCCCAAGCACAGCTGACAATAGATATTATCATGCCAAAAACCTGAGACTTAATCATTGCACTGATTATATCCCATGATCGAAGAGCCCTTTGAGCTGAATCCAATATTATATTAATGCTAATTCCATAAACACTATCAGCCAGTAGGGCACTCGATGCCATCCCTACCGTGAAACACATCAGAGTCAAGAATGGTAAAGCTAAAGAGGAAGCAATAACTCTAGGTGTTACCAAATAATCAACAGGGTTTGATCCAAGAACTCTCAGTGTATCTGTTTGCTCAGAGACCTGCATCGTTCCTAGTTCTGCAGCAAATGCACTTCCAATGCGCCCGGCAACAACAATCGATGTAACCACAGGACTTAGCTCCCTTGAGAACGCTAAGGCCAAGACACCCCCAACTGATCGGTTCAAACCCAACCGGGTAAATTCTCTAACAAACTGAATAGTGAAGGCCATGCCAACAAATGCTGCGGTTAGAAGACAAACCCCGACTGATTTAGGTCCAACTCTCTCCAGTTGTTGGAGGGTATTCCTCCAATGGACTTTACCCTTTAGAATCCGAATAATAACCTGTCCAGCAAGGACAAGAACAGATAATCCTCTCCATAAGTAACTAGGAGGAGACCATTTGCTAAAGAATGTTTCAGGTTCCAAAGAGGGTGCATGGTTTGTATTGCTGTCTTCTTCTAGTGCAGGGGCATATGCATGGCCATCATCCATGTTGGAAATCACAAACAATCTAGTTTTGCATAACGGTGTCAGAAATCTGAGATGCTGACCTCTTCCATTGAAGAGAAGTTTACTTGAATTCCAACCTCCAAATTTCATCCACCCATCGGATGTGATAGAGATCCTCCTACAATCAATATGTTCATAGATATTAAGTCTAACATATAAAACTCAATGAGTGAACTTAGAAGCGAGAGAGAGAGAGAGAGAGAGAGAGAGACCTACTAGAAAAGTAATATATTGGATGAAGTAGAGAGGCTGTTTGCATCCTTGGCTCCTTGCTTGAGCTTCTACGATAAGAAAATTCAAATAAAACATTAAAGTTTAGACATAACTCCAATCAAACTAAAGAACTTGACAAAAATGTTATCATTTTGGTTCCCTGGAAGAAGCAATTGCACCCAAAAATTAGCAAAATTAAAAATAAAAATATTTGTTTAGTACCTTCAAAAAGATAAACAAAATCAGTTTTTTTTTATAAAAAATCATATAGTATAGCAAGATGCAATGAATACACAAAGAATCAATCAAAAGTATATTTCAGCATTGTTCATATTTAAGTTAAAAATACCAATTGTTATTCATTGCTTTGCCGGTTTCTTTTAAATTTTGAATTAAGCATGGGTTTGACATTGGATTGGAAAACCCCCAAAAATATTCAGGTTAGAGTCCAAATTTAGCATAATTGCAGAAATAGGCTATTTAGTGGAATACCCAGAAACAAAATTTCAAGATTTATCACAAGACCAGCTCAAACTATCTAAAATTATAGGGAAAGCTTAATCATAAACCTCAGCAACAAAAAACCCAGAAACATTTTCGCAAATAACAATCTTAAAGTAACAAGTTCCAAAAGCGAGCGGCGATAAAGCCCCTAAATACAATGAAAAAAGGAGAAATTTTTATAGGAAACAGTGTTGGTAGACAATACCTGTGATTGAAGACGGAATGTAACGATGGCAGTGGAGACTGATTGCTGGCTTTTTCCTTTTATCGTCTCCAATACATGCCTCGCGTCTTTTATTATTATGTAACGGGTAAACTACACATATGGTCATTAATATTTGAATAAGTTTTCATTTTTCACATTATATTTTATAAGTAATATATTAGTCACTAACGTTATCAATTTGTAACAAATATATTACTCTCTACTTTAACTACCATTAACCAAAACCGTCTTAGAAATTTTGGGGCCCCAAGTGAAAATTTAAAATAGGCCCTATACATATATTCTATTATTTAAAATAATTAATTTAACATTACACTAATAAACCATAGAAAAATGATTAAAATTATGGGTCTTGTAACACCCATAACTTGTACAATTATACCTACATGGATTATAGATGTCACCCGAATTTCTAAAACTATTTTTCAATTTAAAATCGATTTAAAATTTATTTTCTTAAAATGGTAACTGATATTATAAAAATATCATATCATATGAATTATGTTTTGTTATAATAAATTTAATTCAAAATATTTTTTTTATGAATAGTACCATGAACTGTGAACAGTGAGGGTATCGGTATACTGTAATAGGGTGTCGGTACCCCTGTAGCGTTCTGAAAATTTTTAACGTAGGTACAAGGACTGTTCATTCGGTTAAATCGGCGGCCGACCAAACCAAATTACCATTAACCGAATTAACCGAACTATTTTTTTCTTTAACCATTAATCAAATTGAACTTTTTTTCGAAAATATTAACTGAACCGAATAAATTTCGGTTAATTCGGTTAATTTTTCTAATTAACCGGAATTTTTTAAAATTTTCTAATTTATATAAAAATTAAATATTTTTTAATTCAAAAAAAATTCTAATTAATTTAAATAATATAATATTATAAAATAAAAATTTTATATAAATTTTTTAATTAATTAATATTGATTTAGGTTTAAAGGTTATTAGATCTTAAATTATTAATTGGGTTTTAAATGGTTTGGGCTGAACTCATATGTTATATATAATATATTTAATATTTTGTAATTCAAAAAAACATTTACAATTAATTTAAATAATATATAATTATAAAATAAAAATTTTATATAAAATTTTTAATTAATTAATATTGATTTAGGTTTAAAAGTTATTGGATATTAAATTATTAATTAAGTTATAAACGGTTTGGGTTGAGTCCATATGTTATATATAATATATTTAAAATTTAATTTCGATTAATTTGGTTAATTAACTGATTTCGAACCGAATTAACTGTTAACCGAATTCTAAAAATTTTCTTAATCGTTAACCGACCGAACTAATTCGATGGACAATCGAATTAATCGAACTAACTTGGTTCGGTCGGTTAACTGAATTAGTTCAAAATTTTGAACACCCATAGTCGGTACTGTTCACTGCTACAGTCATAAAAACTTAACCTTTCTTCACTATAAAGTTACCATTTTGTTTCTAAATTTGTTCAACAAAACAAATAGAACATTATTAATTGCATGCCACTATCTAAGTCAAATTCCATCATAGGATGTCTTACTAATATTGAAATATACTCCTCAATGCTTGATGTCACTTTGACCTCTTTATTTCACTACTGACCTTTTACCTACGCGTGAAAATCATCACAGGTGAATAAATGATAAACAGGTGAATAAGCTTATGAAATTTTGTACTGATGGCAAGTATATTGGTAAGAAAATTTATATATGGTTTATTTCATGTTAATATATGGTAACATGATTGAAATACAGATAAATTGATCGTAATGCATTGAGTATTGTTATTTATTTATATTTATGTGTTGTATTGCATTGCATTGACTATTATTATGTTTGCCTCACTAAGTGTATACTTAGAATGTGATGAATTTCACACGTAGGTAAAAAGCAGAAATCGGAGTAAGGAGTATTCGACATCGTACTTATCGAGGAGTATATCTCCATTATCAGTAATGAAATCTTCCTGATGTATTTTGATTTTCTAGTCGGCATGTATATAAGTGTTGTTGGTATTTTGGTATAAACTATGCTTAAAACAGGTTAATTTGTAATGTTTTCCTGATAATAGTTTAATGAATAGTATATAGATTATGATAGTTATAAAAAACAGACTGCAGGTTAGCGATCCGATAAAAAGAATTAGAATTAAACCAATATTAAGATAAATTTTAGTTTAAGTAAAATATAGGCAGTTTTATTTGTTATATGTTATAATTATGAATTATTAAGTTACTACTTGAAAACGAAATTAGTTTGGTTGAAAAAAAATGAATTGATGTATAAATCAATAAATGGTTTAAATTTGAATGCTAGAAAATCGATTTGTGGCATTCTGACTAGTATTTTTGAATTAAATACGGGTAAGGGTGTTACAAAAATATACATTATAAATATGTACCCATAATTATAGATTTTAATCCAACATTAACATCCTACTAAATGTGTAGATCTCTCATGGCTTCCTGCATCCGTTTCCATTTCTGGCTTTTCATTATTTATTAATTAACATCCTACTAAATGTGTAGATCTCTCATGGCTTTTTGCATTGCTTATTATGATTTTGTCTTATTCTGGAATGTAAACATTGTGGAAAGAAACATTCTGGTTAGTGTTGGTTTGTTGGGGGAACATACTGTCATTGCTTTACCTAGATCAGTCAGTAGTAGCACCTCAGAAAGGTAGAGGTAAAAAAAGTGGTAAACAAGGAGTATCTGAGGCTGCATCTAGTCGAGAAGGAAAGACTACTTCTCGAGTATATAATATCAAGACTGCTGATGATCGAGATGATCGAGAGATAGTAGCAGGTATGTTTAAAACAATTTGGAAAACCTATATTTACATTGATTGATCCGGGCTCTATATATTCTTATATTAGTTCTAAAGTAATACTTGAAAGAAATATTCCAATATAACTAATTTTAAGTAAAGTAGTTGCTATCAATTCAATAGGGCAAAGGGACAAAGTAAGTTGAATATGCTGAAAGTGTCCAATAAAGATTCAAGAAGTAGAATTCCCATATGATCTTATGAAATTACCAATCCAAGAGTTTTAAATCATTCTAGGAATGGAGTTGTTATCGGTATATGATGCTACGGTTAAATGCTGATTAAAAAGATTAATTTTAAATGGACCAGGTGGCTCAGAAACAATATTTGTGGGTGAAAAGTCGAATTATCTGAGCAATGTGATATCAACTGCAAATGCTAGAAAGTTGTTATCACATATGAGTGAAACATATTTAGCTCATGTAGTAAATACCAAGGAAAGAAAGATAAATCATGAGAATATACCAACAGTGTGAGAATTTCCAGATGTATTCCTAGATGAATTGCCAGGATTACCTTCAGATCGAGAAGTGGAATTTAGTATTGATGTGATTCCTTGAACGACACCAATATCAATGGCACCTTATATGATGACTCCTATAGAACTTAGAGAGTTGAAGGCTCAATTAAAAAAATTATTAGACCAAGGTTTTATACCTAGAATATTACCTTGGGAAGCTCCAGTCCTGTTTGTGAAAAGAGAAAGACGGATCAATGAGATTATGTGTGGATTACCATCAACTTAATAAAGTGTCAGTCAATAATAAATATCATTTACCAAGGATTGATGATCTCTTTGATCAACTTAAAGGAGTGGCACTATTTTCTAAAATTGATCTTTAATCAGGGTATCATCAATTGAAGATCAAAGAAGATGATATATCAATTGTAGTAATGCAATTTGGGCTTACGAATGCACCATCAGCTTTTATGGATCTAATGAATCGGGTATTTCAACCATATTTAGAACCATTTGTGGTGATATTCATTGATGATATATTGGTTTATTCTAAAACCAAAGAGGATCATGATACTTATCTTCGAATGGTTCTTCATATTCTTCGAGAAAAGAAACTATATGCAAATTTGTCAAAGTGTGAATTTTGGTTAACCGAAGTTGTTTTACTTGGATATATAGTTTCGGTTGAAGGGATTCAGGTTGATCCTAAAAAGGTTCAAGCAATCATTGAATAAAAAACTCCTAAGAATGTTTCTGACGTAAGAAGTTTCTTGGGATTAGCTGGTTATTATCGGTGATTCGTGAAAGACTTTTCAATGATTGTTGCTCCAATCACTAAGCTAATGAGAAAACATGTGCCATTTGTTTGGACATATAAATGTCAAGAAATTTTTGACAAACTAAAGTAGATATTAACAGTAGCTCCTGTTTTGGTACAACCAGAATCTGGAAAAGATTTTGTAATATATAGTGATACATCCCATAATGGTTTGGGGTGTGTATTAATGTAAGAAGGGAATATGATAGCATATGCTTCTCGACAGCTCAAAACTCATGGAAGAAATTATCCTACTCATGATTTGGAGTTGGCTGCAGTAGTGTTTGCTTTAAAAATTTGACGTCACTACTTATATGGTGAAAAGTGTTATATTTATACGAATCACAAAAGTTTCAAATACTCGTTATCTCAAAAGGAACATAATTTAAGACAACGACAGTGGATAGAGTTAATCAAGGATTATGATGTAATGATCGATTATCATCCAGGAAAGGCTAATGTGGTAGCATACGTACTTATCCGGAAAACATTCTCTACCTTGAGAGCTTTAAATGCACAATTGAATTTGCATGAAGATGGTGCATTAGTGTAGAACTTCAAATCAAGCCTACTTTGATAAGTCGAATTAAGGAGTTGCAAGCAAAAGATGAAAAATGTTTGGAAAAGAAGAAACACGTTGAACATGGTGAATCTATAGATTTTGAAAAAAAGTCATATGGATGTCTATATTACAAGGGACGTGTGTATATTCCTAATGATGGGGAATTAAAGAAGAAAATACTTTCAGAAGCACATTACAGTCCTTTAACTATGCATCCGGGAGGCAACAAAATGTATTAAGATTTGAAAAGTCGATTTTGATGGTCTGGTATGAAATGAACTATCACTGAGTTTGTTGCTAAATGTTTAACTTGCCAACAAGTAAAGCCGGAACATCAAGTACCATCAGGATTACTCTAATCAAGTTCAATTCCATAATGGAAGTAGGAAAAAGGTTACTATGGAT